CCCGAGGCCCCGACACAGGCAGACCTCCACTGCCCGGAAGCAGACCACAGCAGTTGGAACAGCTGCAGGCCGTGATAGTTTGAAGAACAGGTGTAGGTCTGGCAAGTCAGAAAAACAGAGAAGCAAATTCAGGATCCCCGCTAAGAACTCCCACCACTTCAGTGAATATAAACAAGATAATCCTGTACAGTCATGTGCAGACACCCATCTCTCAGATGATTATATATATATATATATGGTATATATATACACACATATATCACATTGACAATTAACACTAACAATCACAGCACTGCCTTTTTGTCAACTTGGCACCCAAAAATGTCACTTTAATCACATGCCTCTTTTCAGCAAATCGTGGTCCTCTCATCATGGAAATACAATCCAGGTTCCAAAGTCCCTGTAATCCTTAACAGTTCCAATAGGTTAAAGGTCCAAAATTTACATTGTCACCTAAGATACAAGACGGTTTCTGTGTGCTCTCCTAAAATAAGAGTCCTGGGACATATTTTCATCATGACACCAAATGAGTCTCCCATTCCAAAGCATGACTAAATACAGCAGGGAAAACACCAAATCTACAGCTGCATGTTCAGCATCTGGGACGCAGAATGGGATCATCTGAGTTCTGATGGGTTTCAGCAGCCCCACCCCTCCAGTTCTGCTGTCTACAGCACACACTGCCTTTGGTTAAGCTGGCTTCGTTTCACGACTGCAGCTTTACTCAGACATCCCACAGTCCTGGCAGCTCTAATATCCCGGGTTCTCCATTGCAACTTGGGCTTCACCTTCATAGCTTCGCACGGTGGCCTCTTGGGACCTGATTGCGTGGACTCTGACCCACGCCAGCTCTCTAAAACTGTGGAGCCGATATTCATGACCCCTCTTGTTTTCATGATCCACGCCAGACAAGCCAACACTCCAGTGCTCCCCAGTTATATTCCCAGCCTGAGAAGTGGGTTGGCTCTTTGGGACCACAGTATTCTAAGTCCTTGTGGGGACCCTAGAGTACCACGACAAATGTTGGGAGGGATGTCAAGAAGCTGGAGCCACGAGCACACGGTGTCACCTGACCTGCAGCAGACTTCCTTGATCCGCCCTACCATTTGCAACACACGTGCCCTCACCGGTCAATAACCTTTCGTGTGTGCAATTGAAATTATGAGAGGATAAATAATTTTCTATCAGTGCATCCAACGTTGGATCTAAAAAGAATGTCACATGTACATTTTTCAAACATTTGTCTTAATGAATGAGAAAAACTCATTTTTATGAAGAAATATATTGGAAAAATTCAACATGCTTGTGTAAATTTTGCCCACTAAGTTTTAAAAGTATTTTCTAATGATTCCACATTCTGCCTTTTATTAGGTTAGAATTTGCCTGCAAATAAGCAGATATTAAAACTACCTTCATTATGTTTTCTATAAAATACTATTCAAATGGGCACACAATAGCATTTCTTAGCTCCTCACTTCATGCATGCACTGTAATTTTCATAAAGAGAATTTCACCTTCTATTTAGCTATGCATGTGGCTTTATATTAGATGTGTATCTGAGGATTTATAATATAGTTACTCATGATTTTGTTCATCATGCTACTATTGTGAAAGTGTTTTATCGCTGACATTTGTATATAGTAGCTCTATTTTTACTCCTTTTATTGTTTGATGATTTTACATATGCATGTGCTGTGTTTTGATCAAATCTAACCCTTTTCTTAGCCATCCCATCCATCCACCATTTCTTCCTCACAATTTCATGGACTATGCTTTTAAATCCACAAGTCCACTTAGTGCTGCCTATTTGAATATGGGTATAGTACCATCTACTGTAGTGTGTGTAAGAAAAAAATGGCCAAGAATATTTGCAAATATTTTTCAAATGTTTATTATCCTTTGCCATTAGGAAAAAGTACACTTAAGCTATTTTGTGATTGCATCTTACCCCGGTAATAATAGTTACAATTTAAAAAAAAATGACAGCAAACATTGGCATAGATATGCACAAAGAAAAACACTTAGTTGTTGTTAGGCACTGTGGAAATCACTATGAAGTTTCATATAGAAAACTACTTTTACTATTCTTGAGTGTGTTCACAAATCACTCTGCACCCTACTATAGAGAGTGATGTGGGATTCCCCTCCGTATGCTGTGAATACCATTGGTTAATAAAGAAACTGCCTTGGCCTGTTGATTGGGCAGAGTAGAACTAGATGGGGAAAACTAAACTGAATGTTGGGAGAAAGAAGGCCGAGTCAGGAGAAGCCGTGTAGCCCCACCAGAGACAGATGCTAGAACTTCATCCAGTAAGCCACAGCCTCATGGCCATACACAGATTAATGGAGATGTGTTAATTTAAGATATGAGTTTGCCAGAAATACACTTAAGCTATTGGCCAAACAGCATTGCTAATAATATGGTTTCTGTGTGATTATTTTGGGGCTGAGCAGCCGGGAACAAACAAGCAGGCTCCTATAACAAGAGATACTTACACAGGCATACTCATGGCTTCCATGTTCACAATAGCAAGGAAATGGATACAGTCTAGATGCCCATCAATAGATAAATAGATAATGGAAAAGTCACATACATACACGGTGGAATATTGTTCACCTGCAAGAAAAGCTGAGGTCATGAAACCCAAGATAAACAAATCAAGATGAAAATACGAAAGTAATAATTTTGAGTGAGGCAAATCCGACCCAGAAATACAAGTACTTAATATTCTCTGTCATGTGTGCAGTCTTTGAATTAGGATACCATTCTTCTTTCGAGACAGGATCTTGCCATGTGCAGGGATGCTGGCTATACTGGCCAGAGAGTCTCCAAATTGCCATCGCCCTCAGACCTTGGCCTAAAAAGTGTTGGTGTATACTGGCACAATCAATTCTTCTTCAGCATCACTGACTTACACTCTTTCTTTGATTTTCTGAAGCCCTCGCTGTCCAGGATCTCACTCTGTAGACCAGACTGGCCTTCAACTCACAGAGATCTGCCGGCTCCCGCTTCCCGAGTGCTGGGGGGAAGGCGTGTACCACCACCTGTCTGACTCACATTCTTACATCGACATAACACATCCACTGTGAGCAAAGCAAAGTGCTGATAGAATGTATTTATGTTGGTTAAGTCACTTTCTCTAAATAACTGAAGAGGGTTGTCAGATACTCTGCTTTACAAAGAAGATTAAGGTCATTTTTAACTTTTTAAGAATTAAAATTAGTTTATTTCCAGCCTGCATGGTGGGGTACTTTATCAATCCCAGCACCCAGTGCAGAGGTGGCAATCTCTGTGAGTTGGAGGCCAATCTAGTGTACAAAGTGAACCCTAGATATGCCAGGGCTAGAAAAAAAAAAACTGTGTCTCTATAAAACAAACTTAGTTTATTTCTAGTACCCTTGAGTGACATTGTTCTTGTGTTTCCAGGGCAGCTTAAACCTACAACATTAAACAAGAAAGGTGTTGACCTTCTAAATAATTTGGTTCCTTTAACATCTATCTCCAGTAAGGGCGGCCTTAAAGGTAAAGGAGTCTCTGTAATACAGACCTGTGAGGTGATTCTCTGCCTTCCAGGTCCGTGGTTTCTGTTTACCTGTATACTCAAGCATGGGCCCTTCCAATGAGTGGCCATTGTGACAAGCACAGCAGGTTTTGCACAATCTCTACCTAAAGAGATGGGGGTGTGGAGGGCTTTGCGGTTCTGTACAACAAAGGACCCCGTGTGTGGACCTCCCCCCTTACCACTAACCTAAGTGAGTGGATGCAGTTCCTTCATCTCTCACAGCTTTGTTTTCTGCATGATGATCTGAAAAGGGGGGGTCATAGTTACTCAATATCTCACTTATTGAGAGACCTTTAGGTTTTTACTGTGACAGCCACCATCAGTGGAGCTGTGGTATCACTGAACACTTTTTATTACATTGTTTTTGTTTCTACCAAACATGGAAGAGCTGGGATGGACTCAGAACTCTGTCAGCCAAGTGCTTGTGGTGCAGCCCAGGGCCTGAGTTAGGATCCCCAGCACCACGTACAGAGCCACATGCAAAACCTACATTCCTGTAATCCCAGCCCTGGGGAGGCAGAGAGAGGTGGGTCCCTGGGGGTCATTGATCAGCAAGTCTAGCCAATATGGTGAGTTCATTGGGTGGGAAGAGACTCTTCCCAAAGGCCATGATGGAGGACTAGAAAGATGACTCACTGGTTTTGCACATTTGCTATTCTTCCACTTGTAATTTTAATTCCTGGCACCCACTACAGGCAGCTCCCAACTGCTTGTAACTCCAGATCCAAGGGATTAGACATCTTCTTCTTACCTGGCAAGGTAGAGGGACTCCAAACACATAAGTGGCATACACACACACACACACACACACACACACACACACACACTACAAATAAATAAATAATTTTAGACTAGGTAGAGAATGGTTGAGGAAAACACCTGCCATCAACCTTTGGCTTTTATGGGGGTGGGGGATGGATAGGAGGAGAGGAGGAGAGGGAGAAAGGAAAACAGGCAGTGTGACTGGGGAGATAGCTCAGTAAATGGCTTGTAATCCTAAAACTGGAGAGGCAGAGACACGTGGACCCATGGGGCCCGCTAATCAGTCTGTTCAACCTAATCTATGAGTTCTGAGCCAGAGAGAACCCCTGTCTCAAAAGAAACACAGCGACTAGCACCCGTGGAATGAAACTCAGCGTTCACTGCTAACCTCATACCTGCTCACACAGGGAAACCATACTGAAACATACACAGAATGAAAATAGCCACATTCACAACATATCGATTAGCTAACCGCCTAATAGATTCCAGTGTATAAGTGACAAATTAGTAATTCTATACCTCTTTCTATCTTAGCCAGCATTAGTCTCTTCATGAACTGAAATGCTAACAATGTTATATATTTCTTTGTCTGCTCGTTTGTTTGTTTGATTCGTTGGTTGGTTGGTTGGTTGGTTGGTTGGTTGGTTGATATTAACAGGGTCTCACTAGATAGCCAAGTACTCACTGTGAAGACCAGACTGGCCTTGAATTCCTAAAGATCTACTTGCCTGTATGTCCCAAATGCTAGGATTAAAGGCATGTGTTGCCATGCCTGGCATGGAATTATATTTTAGGTAGCAAAACTACAGAATATGATCTAAAGAGTCTGAAAAGTCCCTTTGAGAATTCCAAAGACATTTTACAGAAATAGAAAAGTTCATTTTCAAATTCAGATGACCTCTCCAAAGACTATGGTGGTCAAATAATCTAGTCAATGAACCCAGTAAGAAGAGTCATGCTTCATGATTTCAGAACTTACTCCCAAGCTACAAAAGTGAAAGCATTGTGGTCCTGACACACAGACAGATGACACCCAGGCCAGTGAAACAAAGAGAGATCCCTCTGTGGCCAACCACAGAGTGTGGAGAGAGACATCTGCCAGGGATGGTGCTGGGTACTAGATATCCTGTACAGAACCAGGAAATGAGGGCCCTTACCTTAAATTATGTTCAGAACCCAACTCAGAATGAATCAAGGACCTATAAGTAAGAGCTAAACTACAAAAATACTACAATTAAAACAGAAGGAAACCCCTATTCAATACTTAATTTTCCAATATATTTTTGGATGGACAGCAAAGATCTCCCTATACAACTAAGGATAGCCTTGGACATCTGATCACCCCACCCACACTCTTCCAAGTGCTGCCATTACAGTAGCATGCCACCACATTGGCCATGCTCTGCCAGGAGTTCCTTCAGGGCTTCATCTGTGCTGGACGGAACCACACTCCAGCCCTACCTCTATTCTTGCACTGCATTTCCCATTGTTGGAATATCGCCTTCCTTTCCAAAAATAAGTTTATTTCCATATACAAATTACTACAACCAAAAATTTACATTTTAGCCACTCATACTCATAAACTCATGATTAATTGTCCTACTGACATTTTGAATTTATTTGCTTTAAAAAATATTGATTTTAAATGTGTATGAGTATTTTGCATGAATGGATTGTGTACATGCCTGTTGCATGGGGAGATCAAAAGAGGAAATGAGAGTAATAGATCATTGTAAATCACCATGTCGAGCCTGGGAATCAAAACTGGGTCCTCTCAAAGAACACCCAATGTCCTTAACCACTGAGCTATTCCTCCAGACTCCTATCTGTTTTTTTAAGACAGGGGAGCTGTGTTTAGGAAGGCTGGTATCATATGCCACATGTAGGAAGGCTAGGTGGCTGATACCCATCTCCCTGTCTCAGCCACCTGACTGCTGGAACCAGGGTGTGCGATGACACCATAGTGGGTATTCTTGACCGAAACCATTGGCACTGGTTACACCGCTTTATATGGGTTACAGCTGTACTTAGAAGGAAGCTGTGCTTTGGAGAGGGTTGATATTTAAGTCTTTTAAAACTGAAGTTGTTTAATCGGGGGTATCATCCACTAATGTTTTCATTTTTCAGGACAGCCTAAGTTTGAAAAATCAGATGAAAAGAATTTTAAACTTCTAGATAATTCGCAACCTTCTGCCTCTGTTACAAGGAAGCATCTCCTTAAAGGTAAGGAGATAACTAAAATACAGAAACAAGCCCTGCTTTATGGTTCTGTTGACCAGTATCTTCAGCTGCCAGCCCTTCCAACAAGTGTTATGAGCCCAGCATGGGTTCTCACACTTCTCCTCTAAGTAGACCCTATGTGGAGGGCTTTGTCTTTCCATGTAGTATAGGGATCCTGTGCATAGATCCTCTTTACTTTTGCCTCGGTTAAACTGTTTAGTTTCTTTATTTATCATGGATCTTAATTTTCTGTATGGTGTTCCAAAGAGAAACTATATTATGACCCATCCCAAAGTCCTCTCTGTGATTCACATTTCCATTTCTGTTGCAACTGCAATCATTGGCTCAATAGATAGCTATTATCTTAATTTTTATTATTTATTATTAATAACTTTATTATGCTAGTTTGTGTCTAGAAGGTAGAGTATGTTGGTGCAATTTTTTGGATTAAGGAAATACAGTCTTTAAATTTTCACAGATACTGCCATACACATTTTAAATGATTGTAATTAATAGCTAGGACAGTAAATGCTTGGAAACCCATTTCCCCTTTTCTTAAATAGCACTAGAACGCTTAGGCATTTTTCCACACAAACTTATCCCATTTGCGGCTGCCTGCTCCAAAGTCTCTCTCTCTCTCTCTCTCTCTCTCTCTCTCTCTCTCTCTCTCTCCACATATGATTTGATCCAGGCCAGTCTTGGTTTGTCTCAACCTCCAGATGTGTCTTTTGCTCTAACCAGATTGATAGCCATTTCCTTCCTGACTCAACAACATTTCTTCATCCTTTTTATTTGCTTGGCATCTATCTCAGGCATATTAAGTGCATGTAGTCTATATCAAAAAGGCAAAAGGCCACACAGTTTGAGAAAGATTTCTCCAGCAGCGCTACTGTGTGTAGCCTGGGGCAGTCAGAGTGCAAATCCCGTGGGTAGTGGTGGCTCAAGCAGAAAAGAAGCAGACCTCAGTGAGTTTGAGGGCAGCTTGGTCTATAAAGTGAGTTCCAAGACCGCCAGGACTACATAGAGAGACACTGTCTCAAAAAAACAACCAACCAAACAGTGCTAGACAGCCAGAGCTCTGGGGCCCAGATTCAGCCCTCTGCCCTAACTTGAGCTTGCCTCATGCTGGTGGGGGCTGGAGATCCACCAGAGCTCACACTGCTCTCGCTTTAAAATGTCCCCGCATCGTTCCTATGGACGGTGTGCATTCAACCTCTCACTGCGCTGCATTGCCATTGCTTGACTTGTGCATCCCGTTATGGACCAGTATCGTGATGCTCAGGCTCTCCCAGACCAAGTTGTCAGCACAAAGGAGATGTATTTGTCCCAGGGCGAATACAAGACAAAGGAAGAAGAGACAAAGACGGGAGATAGATGGTGAGGGAGGGGGGAAAGAAGGTTATTTGTCTCCATGGCAGGGGGAGCACACCGAAGGAGTGCCTCTGGATAGAGAGGAGACAGATGTGGCAGTTTAGGCAAGTGGCAGTTTATAAAGGTAAAAGGGGAAACCCCTGTGTTAGGATGAGGTGTTTAACTTTAACTGGGCATGTCATTAGGTGAGCCAAAGAAGGCTTTTGATTGCTGAACTTCAATACTTCCTTAGCTGAACCTTGGTAGTCAGCCTCAGGAGCAGAAAGCAGCCAAATAAGTATATAGACATTGGTGGCTAGCTATAGGAATATAATCTCACGATTTTGAGCAAGGCAGAGGGAATGGGGGAGAAGGACAAGGCCTGGCTCTCAGAGCCTCGTTTGCCATGCTCGCTAGAGTCCCTTCATTTCCTGTTGTCCCTGACACCGAATATAATAACAACATTATCAAATCCTGTAACATTAAGTGCCTGAATATCTTTCCTTTAGAATTAAGTACCATTCTGTGAAAGTGTGCCACACATTCATACTTAAGAGAAAGAATCCCAAGAGTGAACACCAGGAAGTTCAAGGACACAGTGAGGCAAGGAGCCACTGGGAACCCATGTGTGGGAAGCCCTGTGCGCGGACCTGCACACAGAACAGCAGTGCAGAAGGCCCGTGACGGACGGGCAGGACCAGATCGTGAGAGTCCTTCAGAGGCAGCAGGTGGGTTCTATTGTCACCTTGTTATGTTTATTCCCCTAATTTTAGTCATAATTACTTTTAAATCACAAAGAAAGAGCTGGGAATGAATGCAGCTCAGTGTTGGAGAGCTTGTCTGTCATGACAGGACCCTGGGAGATTGGGGGAAAAATAATAGGAACTTTAAGTCACAAGAAAAAGTATTCACCCCATTCAAGCCATTCATGTCTAAACATTGCACAGTCAACTGCCAAGGATTTAAAGGGCATGGCTTCTGTCAACTTAATGCTTTTGAATGCTCAAATGTTATTTTAATCACATTATTATCTCCTAGGAAGCATAAATACCAGATGTGACTACACTAAATCTAATCTGGGCTATCACTGACAAAGGTTTTAGACTCAGTGACTATTTTGAACCTAAAAGCACCTATTTTCCCCCAGCAAGAAATAGAGCAATGGATGGCTCCGCAGTTAAGAGTGCCTACTATCATTGTAATAGCTCAGAGTTTGATTCCCCATCCCCACATTGAACAGATGTGTGTGCAGAGGCAGTGCATCTCAAGCCTGTCCACAAAATAGAGCCCACATAGGGTACTTTTAAAAGCTTTGGTTCTTGGGGCCACATAGTTGGCTCAGTGATTAGGAGCAATTGTTGTTGTTGCAAGGGACCTGGGCTTGATTCTCAGCTCCCGCATGGAGGCGCAACACCTCCTTGAGCACTAGGCAGAGACGTGGAGCACAGATGTGTGTGTAGGCAAAACACTCAAACACATAAATAATAAAAATAAAAGAAAAAAATTAAATTAAAAACCTTGGTTCTCTGTCCAGTTAAGGCAGATTCTCTGTGTGTGACATTAATGTGCAGCCAGAGCTGAGTGTTGTGAGGTTGCTAAATTACTATAAGAACTCAAGCAAGCACACCAGCAAGCATCTGTTTCAGTCAAATCTACTCCCAGAGGGGACTTAATGTCTCTCCAGAACACCCTCCACCCTAGTCCACTAGAATTCTGGGTAAATGTGTATGCTGCCCTCTGACATAGAGCCTGTGAGTCAGGTAGGAGTACTCAGTGAGTAGAAACAGTGAGTGAAAACTGAGATGATTAATTTTAGGTAACTTTGTTTAAGGCCATAAGTAGCTAATGACTCTCATAATGGCAAGCACAGCTCAATAATTAGCAATGACTAAGTAATTAGCTACATAGTTGCAGAAGCAACTTCCCTACCGTCTTATTTGGAGAGCAAGTCTCAAATGTCTTCTTGTCTAGATCAGTGAGCACCGGGGCAGCACATGCCGCTGGAACTTTGCATTGAAATTTGTGGGGTATGGACTTTGAATAGACATAGCTGAGGCAATGACCAACAAACAGGGGACACTGATTCCTAGGGTCCAGTGTATTAAGAGCTTCGTGGACATACCTTAGACGGATGCTCTGGACTCTGTTTTACCATTCAGAATGAACAGTGATGTTTAAATCTAAGATAGTTGGACAATAAAATGTAATTAGGTAGTGAGAATAAAATGTATTTCGGTTACCGAAACTGCAGAAAATTGAGAGTGTCAGAATAGCTAGAGTGTGTCCATGTTGATAGTGACGAGGCCGCTTTCTTTTCAGAACTTCTTGTCACTCTTTGAAACATTGAAGCAGCTTTGAAACACTGAAACAGTCTCTAAGATGGCCCTCTTGGTGCTGGCTTCCAACTTGGGCTTCCTAGCTAAGATCCTTGCAGTACCTTCTGGTGTGGTGTAAAAGCAATTAAACGACATTTGTGCTCTGTGTGTTTGAAAGGAGTAGTTCTTTGCGCATCGTCTGATTTGCAGAACTATTCTGCATGAGCCTGTCGAAGAAGAAACTTACTCTGACACGTCACTTCCACTTTCAAGCATGGACATTTCTTTCAGGAAATGAAAATATGTTGTTTTAATGTCTTTCACATTAAAATCATCAGTTTTGGCTGAAGAGATAGTTCGGTCAGAAAAGGCTTTGCCTTGTAAACACAAGGACCTGACTTTTATCCCTAAAACCCATGAAAAAAAGGCCAGGCATGGTGAATGATTGTAAGCCCAGCATTAGGGAGGTAGAGAAACTCTCTGAAGGTCCTGGTCAGCCGCTCTGGCCTAACTGGAAATCTTCAGGCCAATAAGAAACCCTCTGTCAAAGGAAGTGACACCCAAGGTTGATTTTTGGCCTCCTTGTGCACACATGTAGGTGTATGTATGAGCTCACATGTGAACATGAAACACACACACACACACATACATATAGATTGGTTTGTTTAGAAAAGAAAGCACAGAGAGCTGGTGAGACGGCTCAGGGATAAGGGCACTTGCTGCACAAGTCTGGAGACCTGAGTTCAAATCTCAGAACCCACATAAACATGGGCAAAGAGAACTAACTTCACAAAGTTGACCTTTAACCTCTGCTTTCATGACATGGCATGCCGGCACCAACACATATTAGGCACACACACAAATATGTAATATAATAAATATAATTGCAATTTAAAAAGAAATGTAGCTATTGCTTCTTTAACAGTTCGTAGCACTTAGCACAGATATGCAAGTAAAATTACTAGCTGCATCAAAAACGTTGCTCACAGACTCAGTCTTTTTCTATGACAATTCCACTAATGAATGTCAAGTTTAACTCATGCTAATTAAAGAGATAGTTATCTGGTTGATATTAGTTAAGAGGAACATTAAGAAGAGTAACCAGGGCTGGAGAGATGGTTCAGCAGTTAGGAGTATTTACTGTTTGGTGCGGGAGAATTATCTGTATTCTGTCAATCCTGTATAATAAAACGCTGATTGGCCAGGCAGGAAGTATAGGCAGGTCAACCAGACAGGAAGTAGAGGCAGGTCAATGAGAACAGGAGAAGGCTAGGAAGGAGGAAGCTCATTCCTCCAGTCCAGCCCAGATCACCGAAGAAGCAACATGTGAGCCGCCCAGCTAGAAAAGGTACTGAGCCATGTGGCTAACATAGGTAAGGATAATGGGGTAATATAAGTTAAAAGAGCTAACAAGAAGCCTGACCTAATGGGCCAATCAGTTTATAATCTTATGGAGTCCTATGTGTGATTTTCTTTGGGACTTGCCGGCTGTGGGGTACTGGGCAGGACAGATACCCCAACAAGCCGGCCTTCATGTTACAGATGGCACAGCAAATTTTCCGCTCTTCCTACACACCCCTGATGAGCTATATCCCTTTCGTCCAGTCCAACTATCCATATCCTCAGAGGACACCCCAGCAAGCTAGCCATCCCTCATGTTACAACTGTTCTTCCAGAGGACCTGGGTTCAATTCCAAGAATGATGGCTTACAAGCATCTGTAACTCCAGGGCAAGGAGAACCCATCCCTTCTCTGGCCTCAGAGGGCACCAGTCAGGCAAAACACTCATACACATAAAATGAAATAAAAGAAAAATATTTTTTTAAATGATAAACAGAAAGTTTGTGAATATCTGCATCACCCAGTGTCTTTGTGTTGTCTGATTTATCTCCTCCAACTCTGGGTGATCATCATTGCCCACTCCAGTGTCTCATGTTGTTTCCCTTTTATTTTTTGAGACATCTCACTGTATATCCCAGGCTGGATGGGAACTGTGTTGCCTCAGCTTCCCAAGTTCTAGAATCACAGGGATGACGCCCCCCCCACACACACACACATACACACCAGGCATCAGGTGCATCTTTGGAAGGTTTGCTAAGGGACGACAGCAGTGAAAAAAAATCAATACATTTTTAAGTCTCCACATTTAGACTTAATTCTTTCGCACATTATTATGAGAGCTTAATATATAATATACAACCATCAAAGGCCCTATTGCCTGATTCAAAATAGTTCATCGTGTTTAGTGCCTCTCAGTGGACCACAGATGAGTTTTAAAGCAAGATAGATAGATAGATAGATAGATAGATAGATAGATAGATAGATAGATAGATAGATATAGATGATAGATAGATAGATAGATAGATAGATAGATAGATAGATAGATAGATAGATAGATAGATAGATAGATAGATAGATATGTATGTATGTATTCCATCAGTATCATAATTTCATCTTAGAAAATGTCAGGCCTGGATAAAGAATGACAATTTATCCCACATTATACACCTCCCTGCTAGACATGTCTTTAACAACGCTGGATTTCAGGGTATGACTAAGAACATGTATTTGAAGTACAGTTCTGGGCCCCACGTAGCTTCCTTCCACAGCACGCACTTGACCACTTGAGATGATCCTCCAGCATCTGCTTTAGCATCCGATCAGAGACCTCACGTTCTCGGTGATAAGAACTCTCTCACTCCAGAAGCAAAGGCTAAGTCAAACTCTGTAATCTTGTTAGACTTACTGATGAAACTACCATGAGGTGGGAAAAAATGAGATTTTATATTCAATTATGTATATTCAATGATGTATATTCAATGTATATTCAATGATGTATATTCAATGATGCCTTGGCTCAGTGCCTGACATATTATCCATATCATAACAGAATTGTTGGCTGTGGTCTCTAATGCCACGAGGGTTAAGACAATGTTTAATGTACTTACAGAAGGCATGACTGTCTTTCAGTGGGACCATTAAGGAACATTCTACTTAGACTCAGAAGAGAAAACTCAGAAAGTCAATACTTTCTTGCTTTATTGAGAACAACCAGTATGACTTAACAGCATTCTGATTGAAAACTCAAATTATTCCATAAGATGAAATATTTAAGACAAAAAGGACTATACAAACATTGAACTTGTGGAAACCCAATTAACAAGGTATCTTGGGGTTTTTTTATTGCCATGAAGAGACACCGTGACCATTGCAACTCCTAAAGGAAAACATTTCATTGGGGTGGCTCGTTTACAATTTCAGAGGTTCAGTCCATTATCATCATGGTGGAACATGGTGGCATGCAAGAAGACATGGTGCTGGAGAAGTCGCTGAGAGTACTACATCTTGCAGGCAACAGGAAATGGTCTGAGTGGTATCTTGGGCATAGAAGACCTTAAAGCCCACCCCCATAGAGATACACTTTCTCCAACAAGGCCACACCTACTCCAACAAAGTCACACCTCCTAGTTGTGCCACTACCTTTGGGTGCTGTGGAAGCACATTCTGCTCCTTCAGCCAATAGTCTTTAAGATACCAGCCAACTTGGGCGTGGTCTCCCATAGTTTAAAAAGCAGTTCTTCCTGCTCTCTTGCTTCCCGCTCCTGTTCCAGCTGCCAAACTCTGTTCCTGTTTGCACTCAGAGGACTATTGTTTAGGATGGTGATCTGTAAGTTTTCCCCTTAAATAACCCTGTTATCATCCTAATTCCAAACTGGTGTGGGATTGTTTTACAGCATGATTTGGGGGTCATTTTTTTCTTTCAAACCACCACATAAGGATGAAAACACTTTATACAGACAATGAGCTGTGGTGAACAAATTCGTCTAGGGCTGAGATAGCCGAAGGGCGGAACAGTGATGGGAAAGACAGTAATGGGCACACGGGAAATCTGGGCACTGAGTCACCAGCTTGTTAGCAAGTGTGGAGAGCTTTAGTTTCCATAAATACGTGTTGGTTTTCCCAGGGTCACCACTGCACTGCAAAACCAGGCTAAACATTTTCAGTGTGGGAAGGCCAAAGCGACTGAGTTTAAAGGCTGTGAATAAGCTTCCAAACTACGGCTGCAAGGAACAATCAGGGGAACCCAGAACACACCATGAAGATCTGAGGTACATAAAGAGCAAGACGAACAAGGCTAGCCAAGCAGCTTGAAACCAAAGCCAACTTCTTCCCTGGCTAGGGAGGGCGAACACAGGATGGTCTGAAGTAGAGAGGATGGGTCACATTATATACAGAGCAGAGAGCCATAGGAAAGAGCCTGAACAGGGAAATACGCTGTGCTCAAACGGTGGGTGTTACATAGAAACTGAACTCTAGACGCCTGGCTATTGTTTACTTTTAGAATTTCTAATCACCAACACAACATGCCCTTATGGCACACAGTCTGGATGAAGGGAGAAAATGTCAGAGCATAGCCATGCTATCAGGCAGTTGCTCAAAATTTTGGAAGGAACCAACTTAGTGAGAACAATCTTGAAAGACGTAGATCAAGGAGTCCCTGGAGGTCCCTCCCATGACTGAGTGCAGTGCTTGCCACAGAAGGATAAGATTTGCATTCATGGGGGCTGGAGAGATGGCTCAGCGGTTAAGAGAACTGACTGCTCTTCCAGAGGACCCAGATTCAATTCCCAGCACCCACGTGGCAGCTCACAACTGTAACTCCTGTTCCAGGGCATCTGATGCCTTCATACAGACAGATCTGCAGGCAAAACACCAATGTATACAAAATAATAAATAAATAAATAAATAAATAAATAAATAGATAGATAGATAGATAGATAAAAGAGGGAACTCTGTGTTAGGATGAAGTGTTTAATTTTAAAAAAAAAGATTTGCATTTGTTTTGAGGAAGGACATCAGAAAAGTACTGGGCTGGGAAGGTCAGGCCCTTATTTCCTGAGGGAGAAGTTGTAAAAACAAACATGAATAGACCAAAAAGAGCTTCCCATGAGCTCTGCCAACTAGTCCAAGATCCGCAAGGACTGGATAAGTGTGCAGTCAGGAAAGGACCCTGCGGTAGGTTACCCGTGTCTGGTGCACCTCAACCCAGAACATACAGATACTAAGTACTAAGAAAAGGATGGCGAACGTATAAGAGGATATAATGAAGGGATCCTGATGTAGAAGGGTCTTCTTTCTATGTGTTGCTTTCATTGGTTAATTA